ACCCCATGCCTTTCCCCTCCTCCCCTTCCTTTCCTCCCCTCCCCCCTTCCTTTCCTCCCCTTCCCCTCTTCCTTTCCTCCCCTTCCCCACTTCCCTTCCTTTCCTCCCCTTCCCCCCTTCCTTTCCTCCCCTTCCCCTCTCCCCTTCCTTTCCTCTCCCCCCCCTTTCTTTCCTCTCTCTTCCCCACTTCCCTTCCTTTCCTCCCCTTCCCCCCTTCCTTTCCTCCCCTTCCACTCTACCCTTGCCACCTACCCCTTCACCCTCCTTCCCTGCCTCTTCCTCCTCCCTCCTTTCCCCCTCCCTTCCCCTCCTTCCTTCCGTCCTTCCTCGCCACCTTCCCCGCTATTCCAACCTCACGGCGGGGTGACAGTGTCTCGCAGGGCCGGGTTGGCTGGCTTGGTCTCAGGGCAACCTCAGGGTCCGTGGGAACGTCTCTGCCTGGAGCTCTGTGCTTTCAGTTTGCATGTGTTGCCTACCTGTGCCGTTCAATAGAGAGGTGGCGGCCTTGCTCTGTTGCCTCGGTTTATAGCCAAAGAAGGTGCGCGACTGCGTTCGTGTGTAAGTAAAAAAAAATAATAAGCAGGAAATGTAACTAAACGCATATGAATCGCTGGATAATTATATCATATAACATAAAAAGGCACATTTTATGTACATAATTACCATTATATTCGCTCTCCCTTGGAATTTAAGTCTACAGCAGGACTGTTTTACGCGAACGCTCTTCCCTCTTACGAGAACGCTAATGTGTCGTCTGTCTCGGTTAACCTCATACTTTTCTCCAAACGAGTGTAACTTCCCATGCAGTAAGGTGAGCCTGTGGTGTCGTGGTAGCCAGAGTTTCACTATCACTATCATCACAACCGCAATCACATCTCAGTCATGATCACTATCACTTCAGGTTATCATTTTTTTTTTCTTTTATTACGGAACGTCCATCCAAACCTTGTCTTTTGTCAGCACTTCCTTCTGTTGCATCCATTTGCAACGTCAACATAAAGCTCATCATTGAAATTATAATCACATTTAATGCTTCTCTAATGGACAGACCAGATGCTTAATCACCATGGCTATCAGTGTGATAAAAGAGTAGCATTCACCGGATCCAGTTACATCACTGGAATCCTGTTCTACTATTGCTACTGTAGGTGTGTGTGTGTGTGTGCGTGTGTGTGTGTGTGCGTGTGTGTGTGTGTGTGTGTGTGTGTGTGTGTGTGTGTGTGTGTGTGCGTGTGTGTGTGTGTGTGTGTGTGTGTGTGTGTGTGTGTGTGTGTGTGTGTGTGTGTGTGTGTGTGTGTGTGTGTGTGTGTGTGTGTGTGTGTGTGTGTGTGTGTGTGCGTGTGTGTGTGTGTGTGTGTGTGTGTGTGTGTGTGTGTGTGTGTGTGTGTGTGTGTGTGTGTGTGTGCGTGTGTGTGTGTGCTTACGCATGCCTATGTACGTGACGATGTATGGTATAATCAAATATAAATCACACACATATTAGCCACGAAATAAAACAGGCTTGAGACTGCCGACAATGCTCCCTGTCGCCGTTGCCATACATCCTCATAACATCATCAGTGTTGCGATTCATGTCGCTTTAATGAGACGTTGCGTCAGTCATAACTCATTTCCCTATACAGTGACTCAGCTTGATCAAACGGAAACATTATCTTTTTTTATCTTTCTAATTTTCGCTTTTAGGACAGATTCTTTTGAATCATTAAAATCTTGGGATATTTACGCATTAACCAGAAAACCCTCACGTGCAGGGCATTAGCAGCAGGTCGGGTGCCGTGCCAGCGTCTAGCGGAAAGAACTCACGCCCCCTTCCCGCGCTAGGGTCGTCAGCGCCTGTGCTGACAGTCCCTACATAAGGTTTCATCAGTTGGGAGATCTCCCCTACTAAAATCGTCACTCAATCGTAGGGTTTCACACGACAGTGCATGCTCTTCCTCGTGTCTGTGAACATCCATGGATTTCTCTTTTATTCAGAATTACGTTTCCTTTTTTGAAAAGCTGAGAATTCCCTGTACTTTTTTCCAAGACTAGGAAAGCATTTTCGTTTTTCAGTCTGTCTGAGGCCTCTTTGGTTACAGGCTTCACACGTATTTCAGTTCTCGCACTCAATATGATAGTGTAATTCACTCTCTACAGTTAAAATGGTTGTATGGGCGCGCGGGCCCCTACACGCCATACAGTTCACTCCCCATATAGCGAGTTCAATTATGCAGATAACTCGAAACAGCCAGGCTATGCTCGAAGTCTCAAAAAGTCCAATATCACTGTCCATTTGAGGGTCTGTCCTGTTCATTCCAAAATCCAGTTATCGCAATTATTTTTTTTTCTAAATGACGCAACAGACAAGCTTTTAGTCTTTATTTGTAATACATCCAAAAAGAGGGGGAAAGGAAGAAGAAAAAAAGAACAACATTAAATCAATAATCATACAGAATTAAGACACATAAGGTCTCGCCTTACGCCAGTGCACCGTACAAAGGGGTCATTGAATTTTAAAGTACCATGATTTACATTTTTTTTCAGTAAAAGGAAATTAATAACAGCACACACAAAAAAACGCATCCGTATCCACTGGAGATTAGGACGATAAATAAACATTCAACCCTAATACAACAAGAACTATAAAACAACGTACTGTAACGAATGAATCCACAGTATAACCAGACGGTCGATACGGTGTGGCCTATATTACATGAAGCAAGTTTACGGAGCCCCCAAACGCAAGAGCGCCTTTTCACCCTCACAGGACTCAGTAGAGATAAAGAGATTTAAAAAGATAATAAAAATATCCGAAAAACGCAACACATAGACATATGTAAAAAGAAAATAATCAAAATCAAAACAGTACCCGGAAAAAAAAACGCAAAGCACAGTACACCCCCATAGAAGACCAGTAACAGTACATTACACCGGAGAGCAGCCCCGGAACAATCAAACACGGTATCCCTTTCATAACATCCTTCCCCAAACACACACGGGAAGCTCAATACACTAAGATCCACAGAGTTCGAGACGTGGGAAGGCGCGAACCCATATAGAAGGTCAGGTCTGTCAACATGCAAATAAGATAATGAGACACGTGGCAGCGAAGACCTTACCTGGTGACGTAACACGGGGGAGGGGTGAGGAGGGAGGGTTACAGGGCAAGGCAGGGGTTGGTGGGGGAGGTGGGGGAGAGGGTGTTGGAAGGGAAATGGGATCAGTGTTGAAAGCGAGGATTGCTTCAAAGCAAATCACCATCTGCTAACACCTAAACGTGAATACCATCAAGCTGGATCACGTAAGCGACGAGACTATCAAGTAATTGAAATTCAGAATATTTTTGAAATCATAATGCACTGTCATTCACCTTCACTAATAAAGAAGACCACGAACTTAGTTTTTTTTCTGGAACATTCTATACGGCATCCAAAACGCACAGTAGGCGAGCATAGTTTAAAATGTGAATCGTCCCAGTTTGAAATCCTTGCTGGATGAGGCTTCCACAACCAGGAAGGTAAACAAGAACACACTGAGACGCCGAAGAAACGGCCATGCTAAGCTCAGTGTGTGGATGGAGTAAGCATTCCGAATATGGGAGACGAAATGGGGTCAGGCGTGTGGGACAATGTCAGCCCAGCATTCTGAAACAGTATATGGGAAAAAATAACACTGAGATAAAACAATAAACACTGATCATAGGTTACAGGTGCTGAACAGTACTTCGTATAAAGGAAACAAAAAGATTCATGAATAGTCACGGGCTAAAGGCAAACTATAAAATGTGTTACTGTAATTAGCTCCAGGAAAATCTTCATAAAAGTCTGAGATGAAAGTCTGGCCAGAATGTGAAATGAGAAGCCAGCATCCAAAGTATGTAAGTTCTCGCATACTTGCATGGTGACGAGTCTGGGGTAACTTTGGCAGAACATCGAAAACCACAAGGGAAGTTAAAGATAAAGCCAGTGGATGTCATTAACATTTTAAGAATGATAGTAAACATGAGTATAATGTCATTAACATTAAGGATGCGAGTGAGGGGGAAGGATCGAGCGAAGAATTTCAGCTAATTGTTAGATCAATTGTTTTGATTACGCTCGTGTCAATGATAATGTCATCAAACGGATTCACGTTTTGTTACATGCAATGAGAGCTTGATGAAAACTGTTCTAAGTCGCGATCTGCAGAGTGAAATAAAGGTCCAAGGAAAAGGTTGCAACATACAAATACCCATTACCAACAAAAAGGTCATCAGCTGGTAAAGAGGCGAAGTCAGCTGCACTATCAGGAGCATGCACTGCACCCAGATCAAGAAAGGCCCAGCCACTCAGGCTGAGAGGACGTTTCAGCAACAAGAACGGCTATCGACAGTTCCGGTCAGCAGCTGGTACAGCCATATAAATGCAGTTGTAGGGGAATGGTGATAAGGGTAAGGGAGTTTATAGGATATGGAATACCGTCAGGGGGAACGATTAAGTAGAGAAACCGCCAGCAGGGAAGAAAAGGAGATGCAGTACATTATTAGAGTGCAAGGATCTGGAAAGAAGGAGCCATCGGCAGCAAGAACAGGGGATGGCAAAGATAGTATCGAGGGAAGGGGAAGAACTGTGCCAGGGACAGTAGAAACAACCATCAGCAGAAACAGACAGCAAAAGTAGGGGCAGTAAGAGCAGGGATTGAGTATGGGCCCAGGCAAGGAGTGCCGCAGTGGCCCGGCCACCACACCCGCACCACACAGTACACAAATCTTCTACACCATACACTAGGCTTATCTTGGTGACACTGTTATCGTAACCCTTCGCTTATCTCTTTGACTCGGTTAAAAAAATTGACATAATTTCTTCGTTAGCTGGTTATAATCAACACATTGCATATCTGTTATGTTTAGACAAATCATGTGTGACCCATAATTGCCTTCTTGTATTAGCGTGAAAACATAACATTGGACTTCGTTTTCTTTGGCGCTCCCGCCCGAAAGTTGGTGGTCAGATGTAAGGGGCCGCAGTATCGCGCACACTTACCAGTCTGCCCCTTCCCCAGGGTCTTCTCCAGCCTGTACGGACCCACATATTGGTGGTGGTCTGGAGGATGACTGTTCTCCTTCTGCATGGTGGAGGAGTCAGGTAAGTAATCCGAGAGCACATCAAACTGCT